CCCCCCGCGTTCTCACAGACTAGTGCTGTTTCTCGCTCGCTACTGGGATCACTGCTTTCCTCAAACTCCTCGATCTTCGGCATGAGCATTGCAATGAGCCAGACTTCAACACCTGTTCTCATCCATGACAGTTGGAGTACGGGTAGCTTCGTTTGTATTCAGCACTGGGAGCCGGTAAACCGAAGTCAGTAGATAATGGACCCCACATCAGATTGGTTGCAATGTTTGTCCTAGTCAAGAGTATATCAAGCCACAGTGAGGATAGACAGTCAGTCAGTAAATTTCTGATGCGAAGAAGAATAAAATTGGTTGTGTAGAACCTGCACGCGGACTGGTGAACCTCACAGGGATACGGATAAACTTACGTGTAACGTGTCCGTCACTCACAAGCGTCTCGAAACGTCCTAATGTATATAACTAAACACACAAATATTGAGGAAGCAGGGACATGAGAAGTCTGGCCGAGAGAAATCGGAGACCCTATGTTTAGAGAGCGAATAGAATCTAGATTGCGGAAGGTTTTCTAAACAGAAACTTCTGGTTTACAATCTTCACCCGTCCTTGCGGCTTTCGACATTATCGTCCTCTTGCATATGCTGATACCGGATCCGAATCCGAGTTTAAATTGAGCTCTTTCTAAGTAAGCCAAATACAGTTTCTCAACTCCGAAACCTTGTACAACGCGCAGATAGATTCACTGGTTGACTGTCGTGCAAAATGTAAGTTTCAGCAAGCTCTAGAAGAACACCAAAACCAGACCGCAATCTGCTTGTCCCGTAGTTAGTCAACTTAGGTCAAGATAGTGGAGGATAAAGCGATAAGAGTAACTGGAAAGGATGCGCATGATGCATCGTATAGCGTATCTTCTGTCATGGCGGAAGCGGAGTCGGAAGGAGAGCCACAGCATGTGAAAGGCGAAGAGACATATATCAATGACGACCAAGACCGGTGCGTCATGGTGCGCGGGCATGTGCAAAGGCTAAAAGGTAGAACGCGCCGCGAGAGTTTCCTTCGATGTCAGCAATGCGGGTCGGGAGCGTACGGACATCCAATGTATTCGCAGCCCTAGATTAAGACACCTCTTAATCTCACCGGACACTTCGCCGTTAATATCCAGATGTAGCTTTCTGTCTGAAAGCTACTGTAATACTTGAGAATCAGGGTCTATACCATGGTATTTTTGCGACAGGAACATGGCTGAAGAGACTTCCGGTGTACGTGAAGCAGCGGTCAAAACTCTCGTGTCGATCCGGGCTTTCAGAGCCCAACGGTGTCGATTACTATAGGTGTAGTGCAACGTCTCCGCACATGGCGCGGCGGAAGGATCGCTACGGGGTCCACGTATGGCGCTACGGAGATATCTCCATCTCACAAGTCCTGGCGCTATTGCAAGTAAGCTTCAGCGGTGACACTCTCGGAAATGCGCTAATCTTGCGACAAATCGGTCTATGTACCACATAGATCTAGTAGATTGTTTTGGTGATGAACACTTGATCTGAGCTCCCTTTGTGGACTGACAGTATATGTCCTGACATAGTCCCTGTGTCTCCACAGACAGCTTGGCAACGATTATGCGATTTCCCATCCTTTCGACCCTGTTCGCATTCACGCAAATCGCCATCGCTCATGGGGCTGCGCATCCGATGTCTCCACTCACCCTTGTTAATCGGGACGACGTTTATGTCAATAGACTAGATGAACGCCCACCCCATCGTGTGTTAGTTGTTGTAGTATGCATCTTGTTTGCAGTCGTTCTTGCACTGGCCCAGGGTAAGTGCATCTCGTCGTAACTCTCTACTGTTTTGTATATAAGTACCGTTCAAACAATTACTAACTGTCAATCAGGGTACCGAGCTGGCCGTCTGGCCGGCCAGAAGTCAAAGACTCGAGTTTCTGACGTGCTCGTCTTCGCGCAAGGCTTCGTCTGCACAGCCTTCTTGTTTGCCACGGCCATACAAGTATCGGGACTGGGCTTGCAAACTGATGGCCAGTGCCATGCTGCCATAAGAGTCTGCATCGTCATGTACGGCGCGGACAAGATAGCTCTGTCAGTGTCCTTTTGCGCGCGACGTCATCTTGCAGCACACACGCTGACCCATCCAGATATCTCTTTTTACTAGAGCGAGTCCATATCGTTCGAGCTCCGTTCGTCGATCGTACGAGAGATAGATTATACGTCGTTGGAGCGATCCTGACTACCGGCGGGTTCTTCGCCATCATGGCCTGGCAGTTTGTCAATCCGTTTTCTGAGTTGAACCATCAGACTGGTATATGCAGGATCGGCATCGAACCACAGGCTGCAATGGCGGTCATTGTGCTGGATATTCTCATCAACACCATTCTAACAGGAATCTTCGTGTGGCAGCTTCGGCCAGCTTTAGGCTCGGCCGCACCTAAGATGCGGAGTCTCGCTAGCAATACCACTTGTGTGGAATCCGACTCTCCAAGCCATGGACTCAGACAATGGATGGGCAAGACACGCCACTCGATGCGAACGTCTTCTCGGAGCGACCTGCGAGTCATGCTGGTTCGAAACGTTGTTGGCTCTGGCTTCATGTTGATGGTCACTGTATGCAACAACAGCTTGTTCCTCAGCTGGGCTTTTGCGAAGATGAGCCATGCATGTCTGTTGATGTGCCTGACAGACAGTAAGTTTGCACATTTCAGCACGATGGACAAGGCTAACATGTAACTCAGTTTGTCTCGGTATGCTTGTGACCCAATGGTTAACGATGCGTTCGGCTGAACCCGAGGTGATTCGTCCTTCTCAAGTTTCGGTTTCAGGCGAGCGTACAGACTCCATGTTACTCGTGAATGAGAAACCTGTACACATCAGCCGTGTGGTGGATCAGGCACGCTTCAACCCTCGTTGAACGTTCTGTTGCCACGAACAAACTACTTCCTACAACTTATACCCCACAGCCTTCTGTTATGAAGGTAGCGCACGCCACCCGCAAGTTGCCGTTCTTTTAGGAAAATAGGAGCTTGACACAGAAATGTCAAAATGTACGCATCAGTTGTGTTACATGCGCTGAACGAGAAATGGTTCTCTGGGTGCCAATCGCCAGGCTTGATGCACCCTTGCTGTGCTTCTAGGCGAAGCACTTGTATTCGGTAACAGTGTCCAAGCTGCCTCTAAATAGCCAATTTGCGAAGGGTTCGAATGGCTTTGGCGCCGATAGCGCGAGATGGACGGCCAAACGCTGCTCGTGTGGGGAGGCAGGGAGGACTTTATGCAAGTATTCTGAACACATTCTGAGCGCTCGGAAATGTAGTTTGTAAGTCCGAATGTTGTTCTCGGTGTCCAGCAAGTGGATGTGAGAGTAAGCAGAATTAGATAGACCGACATATCAAGAGGGAAAAGTTGGTTTACGTCCCATTGAAACCTACAAACTTAGCTATTGTTGAGGAGACAAAACCTGAGATGTCTGACCATGGTCCTGTTGCAGGAATGCTCTAGATGGTTCGCTCACTGTGCCTCCATATTGTCGAGCTGCACATCAAGGATCCTACAGGCGACTTTTCCGGCAGAAGTGAAATCAAAATGAATGCTATTGTGATATTCTTCTGGATATACATAACCTGATTGCATGATATTCTGTCTTGATGATCATCCCGAAATCGTGGGGTGAAAGCGTGCTTGAGTGATCTCAGAACCGAAATAGGGCATTCGACCGCACTTGATCTCTCAATTACACGATAACGAATAATAGCTACGCGTGCTACATGACAGTTCAGAATGAACTTGATGATGACGTCAACACAGGACAACAGTGAAGAGTAGGACTAGATGCGGAGTAATCATAACGGTGCATTATTGGTGACGGGCGAGCTTTTGAATGCGGATTGACTCTGCATTACAAGAATGAGTTGGCTAGATTCTCGAAATATTTTCTAGCAGAATCCAGATCGACGTTCACAGTGGCCTTCGATCGCTCTTTGTCAGTGAGTGTCTTTCCTAAGGAGACTTGCAACGCCTCTATAGTGGATTCCTCGTTCGGCTGATTCATGATCTGGAGGTTCATGCTGCCGCTCTCAACCTCCTTACCACCGACGACGATGATATGGTTGTACTTCTTTGTCCTTGCTTCAGCGATCTTCTTGCCGAGCGAACGGTCGCTGGTGTCAACGTCTATGGGAAGGTGTATGGTCGACAACGGGAGTGGCTTAGGTGACGATGCGGAAATTTCTGGTGCGTCAGATGGTGTGAGCCCCGAGAGGACAGACTGAATGCGCGAGACATGTTCAAGGACCTTTGGGTCGGAATTCAGCGACAAGACGATGGCAGGCCGGGGAGACAGCCAGAACGGATATTTGCCGGCATAGTGTTCGATCAGCAGAGCCATGAAGCGCTCGATGGATCCGTAGATAGCGCGGTGGACGATGACCGGGCGGCGAAGGGCTGGATCTAGACCTGCGTCCATGGACGATTGTGGCCCCGCCTCTAGTTCTTCCGGCGATGCCTGGTATTGTAGGTCGAAGCGCTGCGGAAGTTGGAAGTCCAGCTGTATGGTTGCCGTCTGATGCTCTTTGCCATTCGAATCTTTTAGGATGATGTCAATCTTCGGCCCATAGAATGCTCCGTCTCCTTCGTTGATCGCCCATTCGCTTCCGATGTTGTTCAACGCAGTAGTCAACTGCTCCTCTGCACGATCCCATTCCTCAATAGTGCCGATGAAGCTATCCTTTGGCCGGGTAGAGAGAAGCAGCTTGTAGGGACCTAATCCAAACGTGTTGTATACCATGCCCACAAACTTAAGTGTCTGCTCAATCTCGGCCAAGATTTGATCTGGTCGACAGAAGATGTGCGCGTCGTCCTGGTGAAACCGCCGGACCCTGGTCAGACCTGTCAAGGCGCCTGAGATCTCGTTCCTGTGTAGAGCACTGAAGTCGGCAAGTCTGACTGGCAGATCCCTATAACTCTTGATCTCATCCCTGAACAGCAAGCAGTGGCCTGGACAGTTCATTGGCTTCAGGCCGAACTCTCCGTCCTCTCCACCTTCTGCTTCTGGAATTTGCGCCGTTGTACCTCGCCCCTGCACACTGAACATATCCTCGGCATAGTTCTCCCAGTGTCCTGACTTCTCCCATAGCGACTTCTTATATATTATGGGTGTAATGACCTCCTGGAAGCCGAATTGTGGATACTGCGCTCGGAGGAACGACTGCAACTTCTGAAAGACATAGGCGCCGTTGGGAAGAATGAGCGGTGAGCCAGGGCTGTACGGAGATGTAATGAAGAGGTTATGTGTCTGCGCGAGAGTTCGGTGGTCGAGGGAGGGCGTAGGCGGGGTGCCGGTTGTAGGGTTCAATTGCGCACTGGCGGGTGCCTCAGATGAGACAGTCACTGTGTGCTGTAACTGGTGAGGCGCAGAGCAAGAGCAGCTCCGCACAAAGAGACGGCCATTTTGGCGCCACGTTGCTGATGCTAGTTGCGCCTGTCGTGCAGTCCGTAGCGCGAACGAAAGCTGGCGTAATGACATCGGAAAGTCCTGATACCTGCAACGCCTTCGCGTGGTGTTCAGGATGCACTTTCTGGGCTAGTCGTCTTGGCGGCCGCGAGCTCCAACATGACGTCGACGCGTCCACAAGTCAACACCAGAGTCAGTAGTGCAGCCAGGCACTAGAGGTAACGTGCTAGAGTCATTCATCCGCACGGAAACTTTACTGATGGCAAAAGCACTAAGTGTCTCGGCTGCGAGCTGATCGTGGTATGCGCTCGAAGCCTGATTGGTATGCCCCACGTCACACGTAGGAAGTGGCAAGCCGCCTACCCAACCTCCTACAACTACACAAAGGGCAGTTGGTGAGACAGTTTGGACTGTCTCTAGAAATACTGCTACTCCCTAATCCTATAACTACCACTTAATCCGCATCCTTACCTTGCCCCACGCGATCATCGCCCCCACTCACAGATACTACCAACTTAGAACATGAGCGCACGTTCCCATCGACTCGAACACAGCTTGGGCAGTAGTTGGGGTGACGCTGACTACGCATCCGGCGACGAAGGATCGATTCACTCCGCTAGCGACGAAGCCAGTGAAGTGGAACTGGAAGGATCCGACAAAGAAACGATACAAGAACCCCAGACACCTGTGACACCGAGACCTAAGCGTGACCACCTCAGTCAATCAACACCTACAGCTCGAACACAAGTTCGGCCAGTACGACAGCCAGCGAGTCGTACTAAAAACAGTCAGTCGCAGAGAATAGGATCAGACCAAAGGACGCAAAGGCAAGACGCGTTCGAGCCAAGCTTCATCATGCCCTCTATGGCCAACTCGCAGAGTGGATACAATGGGTCACCAGGGGCAAAGCTCCAGCCGCGAAACCGAGCAAGGAAACCGGCCCAAAATCCTTCATCAAATCCACCCCATGCATCTGGCATTTCTTCTATGAGAGGCTCTGCCAGCGAACATCAACAGTCGTCACCACAAGAGCAGGGGGAGGTGAGCCCATGGCATTACGTGAGTCTCTTCTGGGACAACGTCGCCGCACCACTTCTTGCTCATTTCTTGGATATCTTCTCCTACGCCCTGCGCCACTTCATCAAACCGGTCCTGGGCGTCATACTTGGTGTTGGTATACTAGTTTTCAGTATCCAGATAGCATCCGGCATGCTACGCTCCACGGTATCAAATGCCGTGATGGGTCCTGTTTGTGCTATACCCGGCTCTTCTTATCTCATCGCTGCCTGTGTTACGACAGGCACAGAAAGCCCTCAAGCTGATTTTGAGGAACTTATCAACGTCCAAGGTAGATTTGAGGATATCTTGGATGCATCGAAAGATACTTCTGCGTTACCTGCCACGATCAAGAACTCTGAACTTGCTATTCGCGATTTGCGAATTCTTGTCAAACACTCTCGTCTTCCAAGCCGCAAAGCACTGGAGAACGAATTTGAGTACTTTATGCAAACAGCTAATGAGGCTTCCCTCGATCTCTCCCGCTACAACAGCCGTATAGGAGCAGCCATGGACCGCGTCATCGCAACAAATACCTGGACCATGAATGTACTGTCTGGAATTTCGGAGAAAGAAGCATCAGTTGGCGCTGTTGGCCGAGTCCTCAACCAGCTCACAGGCGCATTTGTGGCCCCACCACCAACACTTCAACAGCAGATCTTCGACCAATATGTCCTACAAGTCAGCAAGAACAAGGACGAAATCACCGGTCTCATCCAAACTGCTCAAGCGCTCCTTCTTGTCCTACAAAATCTCGACGAGCGACTAGGTACCATCTATGAGATTGCGACAAACGACGACCAGACGATAACGAGCAGACAAGACGAGCTTCTCTCTAGCCTTTGGACAAAGCTCGGTGGAAACCGCGGGGATGTGAAGGCCAATATCAAATCCCTCAACCTACTCTCCAACATCAACGCGTACCGCAAAAGAGCCGTCAATCATGTAACGGACACGCTCCTCAAGCTACAGGAAATCCAGGCTGAGTTGGAAAACCTGCGGGAAGGCGTCGCGGCGCCGGAGATCTTGGGATATGCGAGTGGTTACTCGTTAGAATTCCACATTGATACTATTGGGAAGGGTGTCGAGAGGCTGCAGGTCAGTCGTGGAGAGCAGATGAGGGAAGAGAGGGAGACATACAAGAGGCTTATGCGTGGTGGAGAGGAATCTGACGGCAGGAGAGAGCTGCCTGGACCGACGGTCACGGTCAGGGCGAAGTAGTAGAACTGTCTCGGCATTGAGAAGGTTGGATAACTCTGCGTTTGTACTTGGGTATGGCATGATGGCGTTCATGAGATTGTCTTTAGTCTCTTGGCTTCCTTTTCCCCCTAGTATGTGCCTAGATACCCACGCCATTCATAGCTTATGACTTTATTGAAACTCCATTGTTTGCAAATTCAGTACATCTGCACCTCGACCAAACATCTCCTTACGCCCCCATCGCTACCATCCCCTAATCCTTCAAACTCCATTTCATAAGCCACACATCCTCTCTGTGCACAAGCCTCCCTGAATCCATCCACACTACCTCCAACACCAAAGTAAACTCTCTTCGCCGCCACCATAGTCTTGCCTGTCTTGACCCGCCCCATCAGCGCAACGATCGCATCCGTGAACGCCGTAAGCGAAGCCGGCGAGTAGATCGTCTCGGAACCAAGGATGAAAGTATTCAAGTCTGGTGACGAAGGAACCATCTCCAGAAGCGCATCAATCGGTGTCCAAGATCCCGAAATAAATGTCATGGTAATTCCAGTCTCATTCATTACCCTCTTGAAAGCAGAGAGAATCTCGGGAGTGATGTACAACTCGCCATTCTCCTCTTGTTCCAACAGCGGGTTTCCAGTTTCCGAGAACAGCGTTTGACTATCTCCAGCACTCAGTGTACCCACCCATGTCAAGAGTAGATTGGGGAGAGTAACGAGTCGCATGACATCGGCGTTATAATCTGTCAGCGTGAAGTAAATTCCAAGTTGATTTTTCACTGCGTATTGGAATAGGAGAAGAGAAGGAAGTGCGGAGCCACAGCCCATCTCGATAACGTGTCCAACGCGCATCAGGTCATCGAGGTCCTTCCGCGGACCACGATCCAAGAGGTATCGGACAAGATCGAGACTGCATTCCCAAGTCTTGTAGCCGCCTTCATAGACGTTTTGGCGGAGGTCCGAGTCCTTGGTTTGAGTGTTAGCTTGGATGAGTCTGTGATGGGAATTTTGGTGGGAAAGTGAAACGTACATCGAGACCTGTTAGGGGCGTCTGAGAAGATCCATCGTCTTCGGCCATGAGCTGAAGGCGGACATCGAAGAGCTCGCGGCGTGGAAGACGGGCTGTGAAGCCTTTGGGACTTGTTATGCTGACAGTTGAGTAGGAAAGCTTGTCTGGCAGGGTTGATAGCTGTGGTATGTCAGTTCGGTACTCAGCAATGTCAACGACATTCCAAGAAGGGAAGGGATATTGAAAATTTCAGAATGAGAAATCATTATGCGCATGCACTTGCATTGCACAAGCACCAAAAGCGCATACTTACCAATTCATCTAGATCATGTGTCTTTGCCGGGATCGGTGGTGGCACATCACTGTCCGTGGTTGCTGGCTGCTGTCCTTGGTCTTGCACATCGTTTGGATCTTCTTCTATATCGTCACCTGAGAAGCCGAAACTGAAGGCCATTATGGGATACTGGACAGAGGTTGAATCAGGTTAGACCGGTATGCGAGGCGTTAGTATGTTGGATGGTGGGGCTGCTTTCATATGAAAGATAATTTTGGGCTTATCGATAAGACATGTGAGGTGCACGGGTGAATGTAAGCCGTCTAAATGTACTCCCATCTTGAGTTGTCACAATGGAGGCTGACTTGATTATTACGTTTGTTTTGAATGCAACGATTGGGCGCGATGGTCAAGAAAAGTGCAGTAATCTCCGTTAACCTTTCTCATAATCCTTCGTAGGCCATAGGAAGACGCAGGCTGGTCGGCGAATCCATGTCTTTGCTGGTGAACAGCAAAGTAGGGATGTTCCAACACTGTGCCCTCGCCTCGCAATTTCAGTCCATGTCTACTTCGTTCTGCATCTGTATGCCTATTCCTTCTTCACCTCAACCCCATTACCGTTCTCCTCCTCGTTAGCAGCCTGCCTGTCCTCGGCCAGCGTTCTCTCCATTTGTCTAGCGCACGCCTCCATAGTCTCCTTGTCCAACTCCCATCCTGTTGTATCAATCCCCTTTGCCTTGGCGTCGGCGATGATTTGTTGTCGCTCCACAATCTTCTCGCGCATAAGCTTGATCGCGCCTCCCAGCACGACTGCCTCGCTTCGCCCTTGCCCCTCTAGGCCGGGTACTATTGAGGCAAGTCGGTCGAAGCCTTCTCTTATGGCTTCGCGTCGCTTCTGCTCAGAGCGGATGTGGTTCTCCTTCTTTTGAGCTTCGGTGAGGCGGGGCCGGTCGGCAGCGTTTGTGGGACTCTGTGACTCCGGCATGACAGTGTGTAGGTAGTGGTCCAAGTGTATTGTCTGATGCGAACGACGAGTCTACTGGGATCGTGGATTGGCTCGAGTGGTACGAGTCGATTTGGCGGATATAGATGCGCGTGATAATTGGTTGAGCTGTGTTTATCTTGCTGAAGTTTGAAGTTAGGTTCCGGTTCACAGGCTGCGATTCACGATTGCTGTGGTGTAGTAAAAGATATCAGGCGCTCAGGGTTCCTGCCCTTCATGTGAATGGGCCGACGAGTGCCGAGCTTGAAGGCATACTGTCAGCAGCACCACCATATGCAAGTGACATCGGGCAGCAAGAGAAGGCTGTGGTAGCAGGCGCGATAGGAATGTCGTGTGTGCTGTGCAGCGCAGCGTGTGATGCGCTACCGATGGGCGCATAGAGTGAAGCGGAGGCTATCCATACTTGACATGTGCCTGGCGAGAGTGTGCGGACAACGGCGTCGCTGCTAGTAAAACCACTATCTCTATGGCAGAGAGGTTGACATGGCGCTACGAAACAAGAAACTCGCGGCTAATTAAAGCGTTGTT